CCACAAAGTAATTTTCATACATACATGTCACATAGCTGCTCTATTGGTATGTCAGAAGCCTAAATGATGTCACACAACTCCTGGCTTTAAGTGCTCACAATCAGTTAAATCTATTAAACATGTAAAAAATAAAATGTCAGAATCATCAATGTATTCAAGAGTTGAAAAAACAGCTATTTTTAATATAAAAATAAACAAACAAACATTAAAATTCTAGTTAAGCTTCATTTTCATATGTATTAATAAAAATTATACCAGAAATGAAACAACTTTTTTAAAAGAAATGGTTTATTTAAAATTGTAGGATTTTCTAAAATTTAACATTGGTTTAAGCAAAAATTAGAGTGTTAATTACAGCTTAGATAGAACTTCTGGTTATATAAATGGCATTCTAGATATTAATGCAAATAAATTAAGTGTAGTAGTGTGATTTGATTTGTGTAAAGCTGTAAATTTGAGTGTTGGGTGTTGTTAAGTTATGTCTTTATGAATGAGCAATGGTGTTAAATTGCCCCAATTGTCAAAAATTACCCAAATTCAATAAAACAATTCTTAATAAGGAAATATTAAAAAAGTCAAGTAAAATCTTGATAAGTTGAAGTTATATTTGTATATATAAAACAATTACTTCTTAAATTGGGGAAGAAATTGTTGTTCATCACAATAATACAAGATAAAAGTCAAATATACTTACTATACAATCACACAAAATATTATAAATAATACATCATATATACTGTTATTACATATTATATTATATATAAATATAATAATAATATCAGAATTCTCAATAAAATATATTAAAATTAATATTATAGAAGGAATGGAAACACATATATATAAAATGAGTATAATAAGGAAACATTATTATTGGTAAATTTCCAAAAATTAATAATAAATTTAGTATGGAATTGATAAAAGAAAGTTGTTTTGATTTGGAATTAATCAATACCAATATTAAGTAATCTACTTGTATATGTAAAACTGTATAAGTGTATGTACTATTTGATAATTGATATAACAAGCTGAGAATGAATTTTTTAAAATCCTGTTATCAATAGGTAGACATTATAAATTCATATTAATTACTCATTGATAATTTTAAAACAAGATTATATTATGATTTAAACTCTCTGTTAATGTTTTTCTCACATGTTTATAATTTATCTTGATATGAAATAAATATAATTTGAAGGNAAATTCATATTAATTACTCATTGATAATTTTTAAACAAGATTATATTATGATTTAAACTCTCTGTTAATGTTTTTCTTAAATGTTTATAATTTATCTTGATATGAAATAAATATAATTTGAAGGACTAATTTATTACTTTTAGTTAAAATTGCAATTCGTATTATTTTGAAAGCGTGAATGAATAACATTACATTTCAAGCATCATTCTACTACAATAAATTCTTAGATTCATCAATGAGGATTCTAAAGTTTTATATACTATTTTCTACTGAAACAATGTACAGAATAGATAACAATTTAGAATGAGAATAAAAATGCCTTACCTTTCCTTTGTTTTGCTTGTTAATTTTTTGAGCACAAGAAGCTTTTAAAATGATTCCATGTCTCTCTGGTAAGTGGATTATGAAATTTGATAATGATACTTCTTCCTAGAATAATTTAAGAATTTATTATTAGGAATAGAAAAGATCAAGATGATTCATTAACTAATTAATTAATTAAATATTAAAATAAATTTCTAATACAAAACATTTATTGTTTCATTCAAAAGAATATAAGACGATATACAAGCGAATATTATTTATAATCTGATAATTTAATTCCATGCTAAGTGGAAACTACCTTAAATATTTTAAATGAAAATTTACGACTTTTATATTTAATATTCTATCGACAATTACTGTATTCAATTTTGATCGCTTATAAATAAAAAACGTTACATTCCCTGCGTTATTTGGGTTTATGTAATTAAACATGCACGAAAAATCTCGAAATGGAGGGAAAAATAACTGGCAGTTTCCAGAAAACTTTCTAATTCAAGATGGCGTCGGCAATACGAAATCGAGCGAATTCGAATCGGTGGAACGTGCGATAAATGCGTCACGCGTTAAGTCATAGGTTTAACGTCAGAATATTAACTAATTGCAAATGTTTTCTTTAAAATGATAAAATAGTCCTCTTTTATTTGTAAAATATATTTGTAATAATAAATAACATTATAAATACGCAGCCCGTAACCTTACAGGTTACAGGCCTCAAATCTAAGTTTAAAGCGTATCTAATTTAAAATACTTAATTTTGATATAAATCGAAAAATATTAAGTTACCTACGTTACGAGAGTTTTCGTTATTAAAATTTGTACGAAAAATGTTAAAAATGGAGGGAATAAGAACTCGCAATTTCCGGAAAGCATAAAATTCCAAGATGGCGTCGGCAACAATACGAAATGGAACGAATTCGAATTTGTCGTTACAATGCGTCACGCGTTACGTCACGAGTTTTACGTCATAGATGTAATATTTCGAGTATTTTAATTGCAGTTTTTAAAGGAAAGTTTATTTTTAACAAATTCTTTTCTCTCGGATTTGGCAGAATATTTGTTAAATGTAAAACTTCGCTAAAAAGAAAATTTACTCAGATTACATTACAAGTGGTTGGGGTTTGATTGGAAACAATTGCTTCCACCATTGTAAGATAGGGAATTTACAACATATTTCATACAACTGAAAATTTTAATTTATATTGCCACAATATTTTCTTAACTGTGAAAGAATGCTTCTTTCACAGTTAAGCACTTCCTTCTTGCGGATTGATTGTGTAATTTACATAATAAACAACAACCCAGCAAGTTCCTATTACCAAATGATCTGTCAGATTATCTATTGAGTTATGTTGAGCCTAATAACTAATTACATAACAAATCAGTTTGGCTAGATATAAGTGGATTAGCTGCTCTCATAATAAATTTAAAAGTTAGAATTAAATTAATTTTAAATTTAGAATATTCCGAAAGAAAATAATTGCCCAGAATGGGACTCAAATCCACAACTCTTGATTTATTTATTAAAATATTGTTTTTAATCTTCGGTGTTCTAAATAAAATGTCACGTCCGACGAGGGAAACCACCCGTCGCCGGCCGTTTTCGACACTCTAGTTAATTAGGTTGGAAATCAATTATTTCTGAGTTATATTTTCTTTGTCTGGGATGTTTTTATAATTTTTATACAATTAATAGGTTTTATATTTCATATTTTATAATAATTTGAAAGTCTATAGGCCTATATAAAAGCTAGAAGATTAGCCCAGTGTAGGTCAGTTAGAACATCAACAGCAAATATTAAGATTATTATATCATTTTGTACTTCTAACCTTTAAACACTATCATATTATAGTGTGTACTTTATATTTAGTTTATATAGTTTGTCTTTTTTTCGTTTCTTTTGATGCTAATTAGAGTATTTTCTTATGTGCATAGAAATACGTTCGATATTTCGCAAAAACCCAAATAACTTCTAAAATAATACAGTAGAAAGCGACTTTCTCAAGGCATTTTTAAACTGTCTATCTCCATTCCGCAGGGTGAATTTTTTTAAAAAAAACCGTTTATAGTTTGCATTCTCATGGCATACCCTAACTGTGTACCAAATTTCAACTTTTAACTCCTAATCGTTTTTGCTCTGGGTTTATTATTATCATTATCATTATATCAACCCATTCCGATTATATTAGATTTGCTAATAAGTGGGTCTATTTCTTTTCTTTAAGATGGCGTCGGCAATACGAAATCGAACGAATTCGAATCGGTAGAACGTGCGATAAATGCGTCACACGTTACGTCATAGGTTCTACGTCAGAATATTAACTAATTGCAAATGTCGAGAAAAGCACGCAACTCTATGCAGGATATTTCGATGTTGTTTATTTATGTGGATCGGTGTTTAAGTTTACATTACTTGGACTAGTAAATTTGTTTTAATCGTTTCATTATACTTCATATGTAATTGTTTCGTATCGTTAAATTTTTCTTTAATTTGTGGCCCTTACGCCAAAGTGGTATTTTTGATATGCAGCAACTGACTTAGTTGCTGCCTACCAAAAATGTGTAATGTTTTCGTGATAAAATTTCAAAATAGTAGTAGCCCGGGACGCCCCCTACTGGGCGTTCTTTACAAATTCCCGTGAGGCACGGTTCCTTTGACTTTTTTGTTCCTATCAATATGCTCTACAGCTCTGTTAAAGTCCCAATCGCGTCATACGGATCTATATTTCTATCTATTAAACATTCTAAAAAACTTTAAAATAGTTTAATTTGTTTATTTACCTTCGGTTGTAAACCTCGATTTTAAATGTATCCGCCATTTTCACAACAAATTTCCCGTGAATCAATGCGCGACGTTCACTAACTTGTAAGTCACGGGATGTAAACATGCGGCGCAAGGTTAATATAGGCATATAATAATTATTTATACCATTCCATGAAAAATAATAAATTCGTATCAATAATAAATTTGTATTACAAATAAAAATAATTTATTGTTAATTTAAAATCATCGCTAGGGCGCCTCTAGTGCCCATTTTTTGGTATACCGTTACGCGGAGGGACTGACACGTGTTCAATGGGTTGTATAGATAGATAATTATAGAATTTACTATAATGAATCCAATTAAAATTATATTATCAAAAGTAAGATAACAATTAAATATCGTATATAATTATCTATTATTGTTTTATTTTAAAATGTAAAATTAAAAATTGAATGAGAACTTACCTGAGATCATGTTAATAATGTTAATTAAATTTTTAATATTTAATGTGCTGTTCTATATTTAATTTGTATGCAATTGATTAATTTATGCTCAATTATTTTGTAAAATTGTCACCTGATTATTCAGGCGATTAACTGCCATAATATCCCTAAAATGAAAGGCCAGAAAACCCTAAAAGCACCCCAAAAGATAACTTTTAATAAGTGTATGGAGATACTGCCCTATTGAATGGATTATATGCGTGCACTCATCTTAGCGGGTAAGTGATATTTGTATGGATCATTTTATTAGACTTGTATGAAACTTTTCTCTACAATCCTGTGTTTATTGGACGGAGAGGACTCTAGAAGATAGTCTCTCACCCGAATAGGATAAATAGTAGAGGCAAGAAGAAAAGTAATATATTGGGTATAAAAAGTGGGCAAAAATCAACATTAATTTCATGAAAAATTAATTGTTCCTTTCTTTCAGGCAACATTTTACATCTACCAAGCATTATCATCATTTCAGTTCACTTACAAGCTGTTGATATTTGAGTAAAAGCAATTGAAAAGAAATGTCCTAGAAACATTACAAAGAATTGTTCCTAGATATATTTATTTAGACCCTTTAAAACTTGCTTCCTGAAATGCTAAATGATTGAAAAAACTAGAAATCTTATCTTAAAATGGTATATAAAATTAATGTTTTCTTCACAATAGGCAAAAATACTTATAAAGTATTATATGAATCCATTTTGCTGGTCGTAGGGTGGGGCTCTTATTGCCGACTGCTCTGGTATTTGACTGTGTTTTGTAGTAGCATTAAAGTAATTTTGCAATTAAAATTTTCATTATAATTAAATTCATTTTGAATGCAAAAGTTGTCTTTTTTTGTATTAATGTATCATTTAAGTCCTTATGCATTCATTCTATGCAATATGCTTTTGTTCATATTGTATAATATGAACAAAATTAAATTTGCAATAGTAATGTTATACACAAAACAGTGTATCTAACAATAAAAATATACAAAAGTACTTTTGTTAACTAGTAGCGTGTTATCCTATGGACAAAAAATGCAATTGCCTGGAGCCCCAAACCAATCTTTTATAAGAAAATATTTTCTCTGAACAATTCTCCCAAAGAAAAATATCTGAAATCAACACCGTACGTGGGGCCTCCCTAATTCAAATTCAAATGGGATTCGTGAAGCCATAACATGCCACTGTTATTAACTTATTTCAATTTTTTTTTACTTTTTTTTATGATTCTTTCAAGTTATGAAAAGTAATAAGATTTACATATTAATATGTTTGGACTGCAATTTATAGACTTTTAAATCCTCACTTTCGTTGATATGTCTTTCCTTAATTTCGAAAATGGAATTAGATAGATGAAATCCGAGACGCTATACAGAAACCTTAGGGCAGAAGGCCCGAATTAACTACTTGAGCATTATTTCAACTAAAAGCTTCCCCTGGAAGGTGTTAGAGATATGACTGGCACAACTGTATTGTTAAAGGAAAAGTGTGATGTACCAGGGGCAAGTCACTACTAATTTGAGTTGGAGAGGATATATTTTAAATTAAAAATATGATTAGAAATTGCAGTCCNAAATCTTCCCCTGGAAGGTGTTAGAGATATGACTGGCACAACTGTATTGTTAAAGGAAAAGTGTGATGTACCAGGGGCAAGTCACTACTAATTTGAGTTGGAGAGGATATATTTTAAATTAAAAATATGATTAGAAATTGCAGTCCAACATTGTGACAATGTTACAATAAATAATTGCTTGTTTTTAAAGAAAACCATTTGGTAAATAATATATTATGATAGACTCACGTTAGCATCATTATCTGTAAAATCATCTTTATGTATTGACGTTAACCAATGGTCAATTTTGTCCTCAGAGAAAGTTATACACCATATCAATTGTTAAGTTTCACTATATACTTCATTTTAAGATTGCAGTTTCTTTTTTCTAATAATTTTCATGAATTTTATCCATCATAATCCTGGAAATAATGTTATGTTAATAAATAATTTTGCTGGTAGAGTTTTAAATATTATATTTTGTTCAAACAGTAATAATAATTCTGAGAGTTAATGGAAGGGAAATTACCATTAACTAATATTATTTAGTATAATGTGTATATTTTGAACTAGAAAAAAGATTAATGGTAGTCATTAACTTGGTTTTCCCACACTTGGGATGGAGAACCTGTGACATTTTGTGGTTTCTAATGCTACCAGACAAAATGTAGCAAAATTAAACCTACATTATGAAAATATATTTTCCATTCTCTACTCCTATGAAATATGTAATTAAGTACAAGTAGACCCCCTATAACCTGTCGATAATTCTGTGTTATATGAATTACATATTGTACAAGTCACTTAGATTTTACAAATATGTTAGCCGTTCACAGCCCGACACACACATTTTTAAAATCTAAGTGACTCGTACCACATGGAATTC